CCCATAATTTGTAAAACAGATCAAATGGTCCCACTCAACACCCCCACCCCGTTTATCACCCTATCCTCAGGGTGTTTATGAACAATGTTTAAAAGGCAGCAATATGCACAGCTGATCAGACCAGCAGCTGATCAGTATTTAATCACCAAATCCAATAAGGAAACAAATGAGGCAGAGCACAGGGGTGGAAAACAAAGGTAAGTGGAAAATGTTGAATGAGCCACCAATTTATGCAAGATAAAAGCACTCTCAGAAACAATTTACAAAACAATTTTCTTTTTACACATTTAATAAACATTCTGTCAGAGTAAACAAAATCTCAGAAGCTGGAAGTTTAAAAAAAAAAAATCAATTAAAATGAAGTCACAGGGAATGGTGGGGAATTGTTCCTGGCAGTTATTTGATATAGTATGGTTAATATTTCTAGTCAGGCAAATTAACAGTTTGGCTGCTGTAGACTTGCACTCACACAATACATAACCTCTGAGGGTTTGTTCTAAAAATTACAGAAATATATGCATAAATACTGTTATATAGCTACATCTGAGAAGTACAATAACAGTTATTTACTGCACAGGCTCTAATACAAAGGAATTCTACACTGCTAAAACCAGCTGAAAAGAACATCTGCATCTTAAAAGTAAAAAAATACACCATTCATTCCTCAGGGTCCCATTTCACTTGTAGAAAATATGTTGAAAGCTCTTAAATAAAATTCTCTAGCCAGCTGTATCAATAGATGAGCTTTTCTTTAATACCATTTTGCTGTATAATTTGTACTGTGCCACAATTTATTGATTGAAGAAAATTCCAGTGAGGCAGTGTCAGTTTCTGTTTCTACAGGGAAACCACTGAGCTGAACAGCGAGGCTCCTAAGGTCAAATCAGGATGCAACTTGTGTGTTGCTACTTTAAAATTACATTGGGCTAATGAGGAAAACAATGGGAGGTTTGCAGACGTAAAATAAACATCACTTTTTCCCTTCACTATCCTGTTAATGTAACTTGGATCATCATGTAAATTAAGGTTTTTACTTATCATACCTTTTCATGAAGTAATTTATATTTGCAAGCAGAACCTGCGTTTTCTTCCTATGCTTCAAGTAATTTGCTATCTCTACTGTGCTGCCAAGTGTGGCCACAGAAAGAAAGAAAACCATTTATCTTCTAGCTTATCTTGAGATTCTGCTTAGGAGAAGCTGCTGTTCTTGGCTTCTGTAGCTCATGTTTGCATTAGAGATTTACCCACCTGCACTTCAGGTGCAAGGAGGGAGAGAGAAAGCAGCTTGTCTTTATCACAGTGCTCTTTGCAAACACATTCAATTTCACATGGATGCTGAAAGAACAGATAGGAAACCTGATGCAACCTTGCCTTGTTGAGAGGAATGAAAAGGGAAGAAACAGGAATGTTTCACATGAAAGCTGACATTCATTTATGTCTGAGCTGTACAAAGTGAATCACTAACTCTCAGCTGTGACAGAATATCTGCCTGCAGACACCAGAAGTGTAAAGAGTACCTCTAGTTTAGGAGTTTGGACACCTGTGAGTCAGCAAGTAAAAGGAGTTTCAGTCCTGCCCACTCTTCAGAAAAGAAGATTCCCCCTGTCCTGAACCTTGGGCCCCTGGAGCCACAGCTTGGCTCTGACGCTTGGACAACCCTTCATCCCAGCTCTCTACCTGACATCCATGGTAATTCTGGCTCAAAACACTGTGCTGGTGTCCCACTATGGGCTTTGCCCATCTTTCCTGAGCCTGGCACTCCCTATCAGTGGCACTGTTCCTTTATCCTGCAAAGATCTCAGAATTGCACCCAGGATTGTAATACAGAGCTCAGAGCCAGCCAATGAAAACCTTCCACACCTGCAGGCTTTTAATGTCTAACGTCAAGTTGTGAAAATTGAGCTACAATACAATGAAACAAAGGAAATATATCAATAAAAACAGTTGTATTTGAACTAAAGAATGTGCAGACTAAACAAACTTTGTGTTGGCCTGAGGCATTTCAGATATGTCATCCTTCCTGCCCTTCCCCACAGATCATACAAGATATTTATGAGTTCTGTGAGCAAGCACATGCGCAAAATAGTGAGCACAGAAAGGATCAGCAACAGTTTTTACAAGCACTGTGTTTAATTATATCTTTCTTTTTTTAGTGACTACTGGATAAAAAAAACCCCAAAACAACAAAACAAAGCTATTATCTCAACTTGCTCAGTGCCTCAGAAAGACTAAATGAGCACAAAACTCTAAAGTATCTCCCAGCCCAACAACAGCATGAAGAACGTCAGAAGTAATACAATTAAAAGAGACACTTATTAAAATAACACCATCTCTCAACCAGCTAACTTTGATTTAATAGAGCAAAATAATTTAGCAGAGAACAATGCACAGTTGCTAACCTTTCATACCATGTTAACAGGTGGCAGTGCAGTTTTCTTTGATGTTTGTTGTGAAGTCAGATTCAAAGAGCCTATTCAGTTATTCTTTGTTACATTTGTATTCTTCTCTGCTATCAATAGCTACATTAAAAAACCAAAACAAACCCCCCACATATTTTGAACCTTATGAGATAAGCCTGTCAATGCACACAAGCATCCTGTGACCTTTTTTTTAAGCTATAATTGAAATTACATGCTTTTGACTGCTGACAGTTTTGTAAAGAAGTTTTGTTTGCAAAATCAAGGTATATGACTGAAAATATCAGAAGGGATACAGTCAAAGGAACAAATGGACAAAGCAGTTACAATGGAGTGTTACAAGGAACAAACGGACAAAGGACAGGTTACAGAAGGCTTTGCTCAACCTGCTCCTGTCTGTTCCTTACCCAAAAGCCAAACTTTAGACAGGTCTTCTGAAGTGAGTGATCTCAGGAAGTAACAGCCCTAACCAGGCAGCAAACCAATGCAAGTTTTTCTGATGCCTCTCTCTATCAAACTATTATAGCTGTGCCTTTATCCTGCATGCAGTACTGTTTGTTTCCAAAGATGTGCACTCAGTTACCTGTTTTCCACTCCATGTGTGAGACACAGAAATATCAATTCCCTAATATTTCAATGCAGTGCCTCAAGTAGCAGCATGTAAGCACAGCTAACATATGGGAGAAATGGCAGAATCTTCTGCCATTTAAAAATCTAATGGAAGAACCTTCGGTCCAGACATCTTTCCTTACAATTATTACTTTACTACTGTTAAAAATTCCAAACGAGGCCAGATTCCAGAGTAAGTTGAAACAGGCTCTCGTTTATTAAAAAAAATAAGCCAGCAAGAACAAGGGACCTGGGATAAGCCCAGAATCCCTACACAACAGCTCAAAACAGCACAGTACTAACAACAAAACCGAAAGAACCCCCCCAAGCAACTGAAAACCCCCCCTTTTTATTACTACCCCTGGTCCAGGATTGGTGGGTTTTGGATCCGCGCACCGATTGGTGGAATTCAGGCGCTTTGATTGGTCCTTACTGGTGTTCATTCTGGACCAATCATTTCCTCAGGGCGTCGAGTGATTGGTCAGTGCCCTGGTCCAATCACCTTCCACCGCCAGCCCCCACCAAGTCCTGGACACTTCCCTTCCCCCACAACAAGCAAACCCCAACTTTATAAAAAAACCAAACTTATAACAACTCCCCCCTCTAAAACTTTGATCGGGCTTTAGCCCAGGGGTCCGGTACAAGCCACTCTCCCAATCATGTCTCCCCTCCGTAGAGGATCAGCAACTTTCTATGGCGAGAATGTAACTTGATCCGGTCTTGCCCCCCTTTCTCCTTTTCTTAAGGTGTTACTCTTACTAGTTACTGTAGCAGGAGTTCACTTTCCCTTTTGTATCAACTTCTTTCTTCTATCCTTTTTAGGGCCAGATTGCTAGATGCGTGGGAGAATGCTCTATGTCTCTGCTTGAATCTTCTGATCTGCAACAAAAGATACCAGAAATTAATATTTCACAATTACTACATCTTTCACACCAAATATCCGTTTCATTTAAAAACATATTAACAACCTTTTACTCAAACATTTACATAACAACTCTCAGAAATTACAGTCTATGGGGTTTTCGGCAGTGTATCTGAGGTCTCTTTAGATTTTGCTAAGGTTGGTAGTAACTCTTTGGGTGCGGAAACTGGCCCTTTTACTCTAGTTATATGTGTCCACCCTCGTTCCTGCGTCCGGACAGCTGTTTCGGTAGTCAATAGCACTTGAAAAGGACCTTCCCACTTTGGGACTAAGGGTTGTTCTTTCCAAGTTCTGATTAGTACCCAATCACCGGGTTGAAATTTATGAATCTTGAAATCAATAGGAGTGGATTGAGGAAGATATCCTTTAACTCTCAGTTCTTCTAAAGTGCTGGTGATGGTCTTTATATATTTTCTTGCACTCATTTCTCCTTCTTTGTATGTTCCTGCATGTCCTAGAGTTGTTAAAAATGGTAGCCCAAACATAATTTCATATGGGTAAACTCCTACATCTGCTCTTGGTCTTGTCCTTATTCTTAATAAAGCTAAAGGGAGACATTTTAGCCAATTCATTTTCGTCTCCTCTGTTAATTTGGTAAGTGTAGTCTTGAGGGTTTGATTCATCCGTTCTACTCTCCCAGAACTCTGGGGTCTCCAAGGTGTATGAAACTTCCATGTGATGTTAAGAGCTTCTACAAGCTGTTGTATTATTTTAGCTGTGAAGTGAGGACCTCTATCTGAATCGATGGTGTTTATAATTCCATACCGGGGTATGATGTGTTCTAATAAGATCTTACTTACAGTTTCTGCAGTTTCTCTGGTGGTCGGATAGGCTTCCACCCAGTGTGTCAGATGGTCTATTATTACCAATAGATATTTGTACCTTTGCACTTGCGGTAATTCTGTGAAATCTATTTGAATGCTTTGGAATGGTCTCTTTGCTAATTCTCTTCCCCCTTGAGGCGGTTTTCTCATTACTTTTCTATTTATTCTCTGACATATCATGCAGTCTCTAGTTATTATTCTGGCAATTTCCCATACTCCAATACATACATAGGTCCTCATAAAATGGTCATGTAACGCTTGAGTCCCCCAATGGGTTGATGCATGCAGGTCTTCCAATATCTTTCTGGTGAGTGCTTTGTTTAGTATTTGCCTCCCATCTGGCATTTCCCATTTTCCTGTTTCCTTCAATATTGCACCTTGTTTTAGTAGCTCTTCTTGCTCTTTTTCATCAAAAACAGGAATTTCTTCTATTCTTTTATCCTCTTCCTTCCCATCTCCTATTTCATTCAACTTAAAGATCTTTTCTGAGTCCTCTAGAGCAGCCTGTTTTGCTGCCATATCAGCTAAATTATTTCCTTCTATGTCCTTAGTGTCCCCTCTTTGGTGTCCTTTCACATGAACAATAGCAATTTCCTTAGGCCTTTTCAGAGCTTCTAAAACTGTTTTTATGAGACCTTTGTGGATTAGGGTTTTGCCTTTTGTATTAATAAATCCTCTTTCTGCCCAAATCTTACCAAAGGTGTGGACTACTCCATAAGCATGTTTAGAGTCAGTATAAATAGTTCCACTTTTTCCTTCAAGCTGCTTCAATCCTCTCAATAGTGCATAGATTTCACAGCACTGAGCTGACCAGTTTACAGGTAATTTTCCTTGTTCTACTATTATCATAGTATGGCCATCCACTACTGCATATCCTGATGCTCGCTTCCCATCCACCACCCGAGATGACCCATCTACAAAAAGTATTTCTCCTTCTGGTATTGGCTGTTCCTGTAAATCCTCTCTTACTTTTATTTGCATATCTATGGTCTCGAGGCAGTGGTGTTCGAGCTCTTCCTTAGGTTCTCCGTATAAAAATTGGGCAGGGTTTTGTATCCTGGTGGTGGATAATTCTATGTTGCCACTGTTATTTAAAATCAATTCATATTTTAACAGTCGGCTGTCAGAAATCCACTGACAGGCTCGTTTGCTCAGTAGGCTTTTTAAATCATGGGGTGTATACACTTTGATTTTGTTCCCTAAGGTTAGTTTGTAGCCTTCTTCTACCAGGGTTACTGTGGCAGCTACAGCTTGAAGGCACGTAGGCCAGCCTCTGACAACTGGGTCCATTAATTTTGAAAGATAGGCTATAGGTTTCCGTACCCCGCACCAATCTTGTGTTATAACACCATAGGCTATTCCATCTTCAACGTTAACAAACAATTCAAACAGTCTATTTAAGTCCGGTAAACCTAGAACTGGAGCATTCGCTAATTTCTCTTTGAGTTCTTCTAATTTTGCATCATCATCTTCATTCCAATTAACAGGTTCATCTTCGACTAATTTATTGTATAAAAATTTGACTAATTTTGTATGACCATCAATCCACAACTTACAATATCCAATTAGTCCTAATAATTTTCTTATGTCTGTTTTTGTTTTTGGTGCTGGTAACGAAAGTATCCCTTGAATTCGATCAGCATCTAATTTCTTATAACCTTTTCCAATTAAATGTCCTAAATATTTTACTTCGGGTTCCACAAATTGCAATTTTCTTTTTGATACTTTCAACCCTTTTTCACCTAAGAAGTTCAACAAGTTAACTGTTGTTTTCTGTACCTCCTCCTTTTGTTCTCCAGAAATTAATAAATCGTCCACATATTGCAGAACTTGGGTATTGTCCTCAGGTGTAAAGTACTTCATTATTTCCTCCAAAGTCTGTCCAAACAAATTAGGTGACTCTGTAAAACCTTGTGGTAACCTTGTCCACTGTAATTGTTGTTTCCTTCCTGTCTCCTCATCTTCCCACTCAAACGCAAACCATTTCCTGCTTTCTTTCTCTAGTGGGCACGACCAAAATGCATCTTTTAAATCTATAACACTGAACCATGCATGGGTTGCTGGTACTTTACTTAGTAAATTATATGGGTTGGCAACTACAGGATACCTTGTAATTGTTTGTTTATTTACCTCTCGTAAGTCTTGAACCAAACGTTGTGGTAACCTTGTCCACTGTAATTGTTGTTTCCTTCCTGTCTCCTCATCTTCCCACTCAAACGCAAACCATTTCCTGCTTTCTTTCTCTAGTGGGCACGACCAAAATGCATCTTTTAAATCTATAACACTGAACCATGCATGGGTTGCTGGTACTTTACTTAGTAAATTATATGGGTTGGCAACTACAGGATACCTTGTAATTGTTTGTTTATTTTCCTCTCGTAAGTCTTGAACCAAACGATATGTACCATCTGGTTTCCTGATAGGTAATATAGGTGTGTTGTGCGGTGACATGCATGGTTCTAATATACCTTCCTTTAGCAAATTTTTGATAACTGGTTTCAGTCCTTGTTTTCCTTCTACAGAAATTGGATACTGCTTAACTCTAATTGGAGGAAGGTTTGGTTTCATTTCAATCTGAATAGGTGTAATGTCTAGCAACCCATATTTGCCTTCCTCTGCCCACACATTCGTGTTAATTCCTTTTTCATCCTCATCTTTTAATAACATCATCTTTGCCACCATATGTTTTCCTTCTGGCACCACTCCTATTTTTAGTTGCACCTGTAAGTCCCGGCCTAGGAGATTCGAATCAAGTTCTGGCAAATATAGGAGGTCAGTACAGCCTTCTCTGAAACTTCCCTTCACTGTTACATCCTCTATGATAGGTACTTCAAAAGGATTATTTTCAGCACCTCTAACTTTGCAAGTCCTATTACTCAATTTGCATCCTTTAGGGATTTTTGAAACGCTTGATCGGTCTGCTCCAGTGTCTACTAAGAATTCGGTTTCCTCGCTCTGAGGGCCAATTTCCAAGTTTACCAGGGGCTCCTTTTGATAACCTAATCCATCCCTCAGAGCATAGAGCCCCCGACACCCCTGATCGTTCCCTCTAAGTTTTCTTTCTAATTCCTCTTGTTCTTGGGACATAGCATCATCTATTTTTCTCTTTTTACAAAAGTTCCTTGTGTGTCCTTTCTCACCACAATAAAAACATGTAATCTCTGCCCATGGTGGTCTCCTTTCCATCCACGGTGTTCTACTGTCTTTAGCATATTCACTGTTTCCACCAAATGGCTTTTTAAATTCATTTCCTCTAGGTCCAGTATACTTATCCCTTCCCTCTCTAGTCAATCCATCATTTCCAAATCCTGCACTTTCTCTTGCTACTGCTACCATGATTTTAGCCTTGGTTCTTGTCTTCTCCTCATCTCTCCTCAAATATACCTTCTGTGCTTCTCTTAACAGTTCATTCATACCCTTTTCTTGCCAATCATCTATCTTTTCTAGCTTCCTTCTTATATCCACCCATGCTTTCGTAACAAATTGTATTTTGACTAACACTTGCCCTTCTGGGCTATCTGGATCTACACTTGAATATAGTTGAAAATTTCTTTTTAACCTCTCCAACCAAGCACTTGGAGACTCATCCTTCTCCTGTTGGCTGTCAAAAGCTAGTCGGGCATTATTGGTTCTTGGTACCGCCTCCCATATTCCTCTGATTATTAGTGTCCTGTATTGTCTATGTTTGTTCTTCCTTCCTCCTCGTTGGGATCCCAGTCTGGTACATTAAGTGGCATTTTGTCCTCCCCTCTAGGGCCACCTCGATTTTCTCTCTCCCATATTCTCATGCCTGCTGCTCTGATCATTTGTTTTTCCTCCGAAGAAAATAATATGTCCATAATTGAATTTAGTTCCTCCCACATGTAAATATTAGGTCCTAAAAACTGATCCAATTGTTGGGAGATACCTATAGGGTCTTCCAGGAGGGGTTTAATTTCTTTCTTAAAGTTTCTGACCTCTGAAGCGGTTAATGGAGCATTCACAAACCCTATACCTCCCCTGGCTCCCCCCATAGGTACTTCCCTTAGAGGAAATAATTTTTCAGTCTTTTCTAGATTTTCCTTCATTCTCTTTGCTTGGAACCTTGTGTTATATGGATGACCCTCAACATGTTTGTCCTGTACAGTTGTTTTACTTTCTTCTTTATCTTTACAACAGCAGGTTGTTTCTACTCTTGCATGCTCTTCCTCTATTTGACTTTTAGGGTTTTGGGGTACATGGGGTATATAGAAAGGAGTACCAAAAATGGGATTTTGAGGGATTGGTGGAAATATAGGGGAAAAATAAAAAGGAGGATTTTGGAAGGTTTTAGGAATTGCTGTAGGGGTAGAAGTACTTTGGGTAGTATTTGAAGAATTTTATGCCCTTGGCAAAATTTAAGATGAATTTGAGGGCTCAGGTGTTACTGGGATGGGAGATGGCACAGAGGAAGATGCATCTACAATATGGTGTTCCCTGCTTAAGGAGGGAGGTGATTTTATTGTTTCTACATTTGTGCCTTGTCTCAGTTTTTCCCCTGAGGTTAGTATTGTGGGGTATAACTCTGGGGGAGGTGGTGGCAAATCATGTATGGGTGAACTTGAGGAAGGAGGAGGTAATGGGAGGTATTCTATTGGATCTGGAGGGGGTGGAGGAGGAAGATGATCTAATGGGTCCCACCTCCTTTCTGGTACCTTATTAACTTCTTTTTCTTTTTCTTTGGAAACCTTATACACTTTTATTTCTCTTTCTTGCTTCTCCTTTTCCAGCCAACATTTAGCATATTCAATTTCCTGTTGGCATGGCTCTACCCTGGTATTAACATATCTGTTTAAAGCTACACACAACCACTTTTCTTCAGTGCCATACCATGGCCAATATACTGGACCTTCAGCTATGCTTTCTTTAGGCCATATTTCTGTGCAATATTTTATCATTTGTATTCTATTTAACTCTTTTAAGTTCTCATTATCGTCCCAGTTATTTAACATTTTCCCCAATGGACTACTGGGAGGTATGCTCTTAAAGGTTTGCTTCACCTTTCTTTTCTTAGCTACGCTCTTTCCTGCACACTGTCCCATTTTAGAGTTTAAACTGCTCCTCTTATTCTTTAATACACACCAGCAACACCGTTTAAAAAGATCAAATATAACTAAATGTAGGCAACACCAAGCGTGGGAATTGAAATGCAATAAAATAAATATGACAGCTTATAGTGGGAATTGAAATAAATATGGCAGGTTTTATAGAAATGAAATAAAATTAAATATGATTATTTAAATAAAACAGATAAAATAACAGGGCACAGGAGTTAACTGTGGGAACCACTTAAACGTGGGAATTGAAATAAAGATGGCTGATTTTATATAAATGAAATAAAATAAATATGGCTGTTTAAGGTGGGAATCAAAATAAAGATGGCAGATTTTATAGAAATTAAATAAAAATAAATATGGCGTCCTATAATAAATGAAGTTAAGATGTAATAAAGAAAATGACAGGATGTGGGAATTGAAACAAAGATGGCTGATTTTATATAAATGGATTTTAATAACTTTTACAATTTAAATAAACCAGCTATAGGATAATAAATTAATCAAAATGGCAGGACGTGGGAATTAAAATAAAGATGGCGAATTTGGATTAATGAAGAAAATGGCAAAATGTAGGAATTACAACAAAATAATGAGTTTTAAAGAAATTAACTATATCTTAGATTTATAAGGAATTACAGTAAGTAATGGCTCCAATGTAATAAAATGGGAACAATTCAATTAAAGGAGTAAACTAATCTGTTTTAAGAGAATCAAAAATCCAAACAGCACTTTGGAAGGAAATTTAACTAACAATTTAATTCAACCTTTAATGAAAATAGCCACTTAGTTTTCTGGGTACTGTTTCACTTCTCAAAATGGCCGCCGCTTGGCCAATAGCCACCACACAATAAGAACTTAAAATGGCTGCTACACAGCCTTTATACCACAAAGCACACACTTAACTCAAAATGGCTGCTCCTCGGCTAATAGTCACCACACAATAGGAACTTAAAATGGCTGCTTCACAGCCCACACACTTAAAAATCACCAAGATAAAGGAGCACTTAAAATGGCTGCCTGCCAGCCCACACTTAAAATTACTAAGAAAAGAGAGCACTTAAAGTGGCTGCCTACCAGCCCACACTTAAAATTCACTTGGGAATCGTCTGGAGACTTCTGAGCTAGCCCTCACCCCAGAACCTTACTCCTTATATCCCGAACGCAATTTAAATAATAATTTAAAAAAAATCTTTTCCCTAGTTCCAGGCCAGTTCTAATAACAGCCCCCGTCTCACTCATGCTCACGCACTACGCACCCCCTATGCTTTCAAACCCTACTTACGCTACTCAGGGGTAATGCGAGCCCCGCTCCCTCTCGGAGGGGTTGCCCTTTTGAGCTGTTGAGTTCCCTCCGACCTCAGGAATAGGCGCGTTCCCTTCTGCGGTCCGACGCAGGCCAGAATCCAGCAGCCGAAAAAAATGTGGCTGGACGCGTCCCTTGGGTCTCAGGCTACCCCAGACAGTTTTGGGGCGTGGCCTATCCCGGACAAGTCCCCAAAAGATGTTATAAAATGAACGAGGCCAGATTTCGAAAAAGGTGAAAAAGGCTCTCGTTTATGGAAAAACAAGCCGGAAGGAACAGAGGGCCCAGGATAAGCTCAGACCCCCTCACAACAGCTCAAAAAAAAATAATCTATGTGCTACACACACATTGGGTTCTTTTCTGAGTGAACTAACCCCACTGCCCACGAACCAGAAAGAACCTTGCTTAACTGAAAACCCCCCTTTTTATAACTGCCTTTGGTCCAGGATTGGTGGGATTTGGATCCACGCACTGATTAGTGGAATTTAGGTGCTCTGATTTTTCTTTATCAAGGTTCATTCTGGGCCAGTCATTTCTTCAGGGCGTCAAATGATTGGTTGGCGCCCTGGCCCAATCACTCCTCTCGTCATCCACCTCCTGTCACCACCAAGTCCTGGACGCCTTTTCCCCTCCCCACAACAAACAACTCCCCATTCTTTCCCCGAAACCAATAAAACCAAACTTATAACACAGATGTTGTAGTCATTGCCTCACCAATGAGCAAGAGGACTCTTCGTGTAGAAAATCCTGCTGGGTTTATTGAGGATGAAGCAAGGTCCAGGAAAGGGCAGGAAGACAATCACCGTTGAAGTGATCCAGGGACGAAGAGCAAGGACAGGGGAGAGTCCAGGGGATATAACTGGGACAGGGTAGGAGCAGCCAGGACACAAACACACCAATGGGGATAGGGACCAGAGGAGGGGTCAGAGTGGGGTGACGCATCTTAGGCCAATAAGGGAGCAGGGAGGGTGTGGGATTCTGAGGAAGACCAGTAGGGGACCTGGGGATACAAAACTTCCCAGAATGGGGGAGTAAACTCTGAATGACAGACATGAACGAGCAGGGAACCCTGGGAGAATGCTTCAGCTTTTCACCCTAACCTAGACTGGGGAGTTCTCCCAAGGCATTCTACCCTGGCCACTAGTATCACCGTCTCCCACAGCCTGCCACGAGGTGACAGTCATTTTGAGGAGGTGGAATTGTCACCATGAGGTGGTGTCATCTCATGGTGCTTCCCCAGGATAGCTAAAGAATGAATTTTGAGGAACAAAGCAACTTTGTGTACTGCTGTGTGGGAGGTCACGGGCCAGACACTGAAGCAGGGATGACTTGGGAAGACTCTCCCATGTAGTTTAGGGTGAGAGATTTTATTTTTCCCAGATCTCTCTGGTTCTTCTGAGCAAAACAACCCTGTCATTCAAATGATGTGTAACTTCCCAGCTTCAGAAAGCTCTCTATCTCTTGTGTGCTCATTGGCCTCTGCAGCAAACCACTCCCCTCTCCCCTCCCCATTGGTTGTTGTTGTGTCACGCCATCCTAGCTCCTCCCTTCTTCCCCAATCCTATTGGCTTGTTTGTATCATAACCCCTCCTACCCTTCTCCAGTTACATACCTAATCCCCTCCCCTGCCACGGGGAGCTCTCAGTGTGTTGAGCCTGTGTGCCTGCACCTCCCGACAGAGAGATCAGCACCCTCTCTCTTTGGCTTCTTGACCCTGAAACCCTTTAGCTGAGGTTGCAGACCTTGTCTGCCCTGCCTTTTGCCTTACCTGCATCCTACCTTCCCTAGACCCTTTGCTGTTCCTTCAGTAAAGCCCAGCTGGAGCCTTCATGTCAAGAGCCCTTCTTCAGCTTTTGGTCGTGCATGCTTTACTACATTCAGGCCTGAGTGCAAGGTGGGCTGGGGGAGCTGATCCCGGGAGGGGATCGCTCTGGGGAAGTCATCCACCCCAACAGCACCTGCCCAGGGGTTGCCACAGTACTGGGATTATCTATTGGGACAAAGGGATTAGGAAGAGAGTACGATCTCTAAAAGCATGGCCAGCAGTGTCAGGGTGAGGGTACCAAAGGGACTTGGGAGAGCCAGGGAAAGAGTAGTAGCCCTGTGTCTGCTGTGGATGGGCGGCTCTCCCCCCATCCACCCGGTGTAGGGGAAATGGGAATAGGAGAAGGTGACAAAAGGGATCTAGGGAGAAGTGGGGACCGCACTGAAAGACATTTTTTATTTTCCTGCTCGCAACTCAAGTCATCATCTTTCAGTATTTGCATAATTAAAGGAGACAAACTCATAAAACCTTCCTTTATCGTGGGGACACCCCTTTTGGTGCCCTTTCTTAGCACAAAACCTACAGCCTTCAAAAAATCCTTCTTCCTAATATCACTAACAGACAGTTGCAGAAACCTAAAAAACATCCAGCGAACAAATTTCTTCACCATTCCTTTAGAGAACATTTAATCCCCCTCCCTCAGGACCCCCACAACTTGGACATATATCTCTCTCTCTTGAGTGGACAAATAAACATCCATGTCAACCACTCAACTTAAATTCCACCCTCCCACTGCAGGAAACAAGACAAAAGAAAACAAAAAGGGTCCAGACAGCCAACAGCGGCAGACCGCTCACACTGTGGATGGTACGTCTCCTCAACCTCGAGAGCGCGGCTGCCCACCCAAAGAGCGCGCTAGCCAGGTCCATCCCTTCACCACTAGGAGAGCTGCCAAACTGCTGACCTCGGGAAGAAAAACTGCATGAGGGTCCTTGGTTCTGAGGACGTTCTCCTGGGAGCTGAAGGGAGGGTTATGTCTTTGTCCCCTGGGACCACCATCAGAAAAAAAGTCGGTGTGCACACACAGGGGTGTTGGTTTGCCAGAGACAATAAATCCAAATGGCTGATGCCCACAGGAACAGTTCCGAGAGGCTTCTTCCTGTAGTATG